GGAGAGGTCATCGCAGAAGGTTACGATGGTGACTTTTGGGGGAATTCCATAGGGGTAACTCAGACACAGGATGATCACCAGGGCTTAGAATGAGTAAGTTTTAAGAACATTTGAAACTGTACTGGTGAGTTAATAGCCAAGTTAAGCTGAGAGTATCTGTCTGTACCTGCTCATTACTGGAGGGTGTCAAGGGCTGTGTTAGGAGATGTTTCTGGGGAAGCCTTTCCCTCTCCACTCTACAACCCCGACCTTGCTCCTTTCAGCCCTCTTGTTCCCCAGACTCAGAGAATATTTAAAAGAGACAAGATTAAAGTCCCATTGGAGATGCTACAATGCAGAGGGGGCCACCTTCTTTGAGGAAGGGTGAGAGAGAAGGAAGGCCCATCTTCAGAAGTATACAGATAGATGGTAGATATGATTTTTAAAAATAGCTTCACAGTTGGATATATTTGTTTAATGTTTTCTAAGATTTTATAGCAATCTTTATAGCTCACAAGAACTGAGCTTAAAAATCACATTAGCTTACTTAATCTCTCTTATTTTGTATCTGCCCTCTGGGTGCATCTAACAGTATATTATTTACATTGACTATAACTTTCAGAATGAGAGAAGTACTCATCTGTCACCACATCTTTATAAAGGGGACAATTCTAATTACTCACCCAAACCCCCAAGCAATCAAGCTCACTGCCATGGGATGGACTCCGTTTCACAGGTACCCTCCCTATACAGGGTTTCGGAGGCTGTAAGTCTTCAAAGGGTCAGACAGTTTCATTTTTCTCCCGAGGAGCTGCTGGGGGGTTTTGAGCCCCACCTGTGGTCAGCAGTCTGATACGTAACCTAACGCCACCTGTGCTTGGTAATGCATGCACCCTAACAACATTCACGGATGTACTGCGCAGCAAGAGTAAGCAGTAGACAGCCTTGCCTCTGGAGCTGGCTTTCTAAGGCAGGGAAGTACATAGCAAAATAGTAAGAACTGAGTAAGGGGATTTTAAATTGTACAAAATGCTACTACCAGCCTCGAGAGCCACATTCAAATTGGGACGATGGTGAAATGAGTTCCTCTCTGTGACCTTTTGCCTAGGTTCTACAGAAAAACGGCTCTTAAATCCTGAGGAGTTACCTTTTAATCTAGTTTTTATCCTTGAGGGCTTGTTAGTTTTGCTCAGGCAGGACTGACAATACCTGGGGAAATGATAAACAACTTGGTCTCTGCCTGGCCCTTGCCTCTAGCCACCGCTGTGATGGTAGGCTCCTTGCAATGATTGGTCGATACACGATGCGGATGATATGCGTTACAGCTCAGCCCTGACTCCTAGCCAATGATGTGCCTGAAGAGAGAGGATCAGCCAGGTAATGCCTTTGGTGGAAAGGTCATGCATTCCTTAAAGATGATGAAATGTTTATCGATAAGAGCAACCCACCCAAAAGCAGGTTTTCAAAAAGAAAGACCAGAACAGCAAGAAGTAGTGGAAGGAAGAAAGCACAAAGATTAAGCAGAGAGAAAAAGATGAGGCAGGAAGTTCCTAAAAATGCTCAAACACTGGGCCCCAGGACTGTAATAATAGCAGCAGCTGCAGGTCCATAAGGGACCCAGTGGCAGAACTAGTAGTGACAGATGATAGGGCCAACAAGTGGAGAGAACTGTGTCACATTAGGAAGGTAATCTCTGCCTAAATGCTTCCTGAATTGTGGCCTGTTGATCCTGATCCCAAGCTGTACTGTGTTCCATAATAAACCAGTTAATTCTAAGTATACCAGTAAATTCTGGGTGGCCATTGCAGCAGACTATTCTAAAGAGTGCTTCCAGAGGAGCAGAAGTGCTGAACAGGTTGAAGTGTAGCGTGATGTTTGACCTCTACCTCATGGAGATAAGCCTTGGGTTGATCTTGGTTCACATTATCCCTCTGAAGTTAGACAGGTTTAGGTGACACTCTTAATTATAACCACCGTATTAGTGGCATATATGTGAAGGACAAAGATCATTCTTAGGAAACTGTACACATAACTTTGAACATCGAGTGACATCTTTCGACACTTACATAGCATAATTACCCAGTGAAGTCTCAATACTGTTTTCATTGTTAGCTGCTGCCCAGCAAGCGCCAAGGAGAATGGAGAGAAATGTTGCCCAGACATATGCCATGCTCATGACTGGTTGAACATGGACCATTGAGATCCACAGGGTTTCACTGGCTGGGTGTTAGAAGTATTCCCAGGTCATATTTTCTAGTCCATCTTAGTTTGGAAGCTCCGCTGAAACCAGGTTAGTCACTGCAGTAGACAGGCCTCCACCGGTGGGGGGGAGGTGGCTGTGCCTGCCCAGCTGTGCACTGGCTGGAAATGAGTGCAAAGCTCTCACATGGAAAGGGCAACTCTGCAACTGAACCACTATGGTTGGCAGATAGAGGAGCTCACAGGGAAGGTCCTCCTCTAAACCCTTTGGAGACTGGACCATATCAATACAGCTGTGAAGGCAGCAAGACTGAAGATGGGTTAAGAGGAAAAATAATGAACCCTGTGGGAATCATCCGTGTGTGCGCCCACTCACACTTCTACTACTTTTTGGTGCAACTTCCAGTTCCGCCATGGACCAGTTAAATAATTTCAGCCAAAGGAGATACATGAAATGAATGGCTGTCCAGAACAGCATAGATATTCACCAGACAGAGTGCAAGGGACAGCAAGGCCGGGCTTCTGAGACTGGTACACTCTCCACAAGCTAGACTTGGGGGACAATGGCTTAGCTCTTCCCCTGGATGAATATTCCAGGGTCCTTTTACCCAAAACTTCACCCATGTATCGGGATCATCATCTTGCAATGCAGGCCCATGTCAAGCCCTTACAAACTGATTTTTAATTAGAGGGTATCTTATTATCTGTATTTTACAGATATGAAAATTGAACCTCAGAGAGCCCAAGGGTAAGAAGACGTTCACAACTGGTGAGTTATGCAAAACTAGAATCTGACTAGTATCATGTTCAACTCCGAGACCTACTTGCAAAGTTGATACATCAAGATGATTCTTACGGTGACCCTGTGCTACGCAGAGTAGAACGGCCCCATGGGGTCTCTTGGTGGTCACATAGACACGAGCAGGTTGTCAGGCCTTTCGTTCGACTGTACCGCTCAGGGAAGAACCCAACTCACCGTCATCGAGTCGATTCCGAGCCACGGCAACTCCACAGACGGGAGGGAACTGCCTCTGTGTGTTGCCGAGATTATAAATCCTTAGAGGAAGAAACAGCCTCCCCTTATTCCTGTGGAATCGCCGGCGGGTTTTGAACCAATGACCTTGTGGTTAGCAGCCCACCTCGTACCCCACTGCACCACTAGGCTCAAACTGCTCATCTTTTGGTGACCTGTTTCCATTTGCACTAACTTACTACAATGGTGAATTTCTAAGCACATCCGGAGAGTCCATCTCTACATGCTGACCTTGCAAACTGAGTGTTTGCTTCATCTCACGGTCAGCAATGTTATCGAACACACGAAGCCAAGAAGAATGGCTGTAAATGTCATCATATCAAAAATGGTACATTGATAGTCAATGTGTATATATTCACTTTGATGATGTGACAGATTAAAACATCAAGTTTTATTGTTATACATGAGAGTTAAAGCCTAACCTTATTGACAAGGAACATCAGTTGATAACTGAATTAAGAAAAGAATTAAAATTTTAATAGAGAATCTTAAGGAAAAAGCCATGGGATTTACTAGTTCTAGTAAAGATGGGCATGTTACTACTTGTAACAGTTTCATTTTCAGGATGGTTCACGTCTTCATTAACGTGAACGCCCATCAGGAAGGCCCATCCATTAGAAACTCAACACTATTTAGAGAAAGAAAAAATAAATGTTAGTCATTAAAGATCAAGGTAGGGAAAACAGCCTCGAATATGGCCTTTCAAAGGAGTCATCAGTGGTTTACAAAACTACAGTTCAAACAGATTGTTAGTAACTGAATTATGGGAACACTGCTGAAAACACAAGAGGCTTTGAGAGCTTCGGTTCATAACCGAGGTAGATTAACTAAGCAACTAGAATACTAGCTAACTTTAAGCATTTAACTAGCTCAGTTAAAAAAGAAATAAATGATTAGAAGATAAATATATAAAACTACAGAAAATGTTTCATTGATTTACTTTTATTTGCTATATCTTGAGACTAATCCAAGTTTATTTATTAATAATGAGATTGTATGTTAAAAATGCAGGCAAAAGGCTGAGCTGAAGCCTTTGCGTACAAGTTAAGACAAAATACATTTGTTTAAAGGCAGTATCAAAATGAATTCACATATAGATCAAAATGAATTCCCATATAGATAGCAAAGGAGTCTGGTGAAAATAGAGCTCCTTCAAATTCAGCGAACAATACTCCACAGAAAAAAAAGGATCTAGTCCTTGGCCAGATTTCCCCTGATCATGATGCCTTCCCATGTCATCTGCGTTTATTGCCATTAGGAAAAAGGCCCGCTCTCACTCTCGTTCATAGTCCCTGCCCATGTCCCCCATCTATTGATGGGAACCGCTGTTTAACAAGACACGTGGCATGAGTGGTCTTGCTTATTTCTGCTCCTGCTCTGTGCTACCTGTCACCCCACTGGGCATGAAATCCCTTTTCCTTAAGGGAGAGTTATTCTTGGTGAGAGAAGACAAGGATAAGATGGGACATACTCACTTTCTCTAAGAAGTGGAACTCATCATAAATGAGGAACAGCTCTTCTCGTGTATGGCCTCCCAACTAAAATCTGCCAAACCAAATCAAACCCCCACCACCACCACCATGACCCTCTCCCCAACCCCCCAGTCCCCACTCTCACTAATCAGCTGTGCAATTTGTCATCATGATATTGGACCCATGTCAAGCGCAGAGACAGTGCTAGTGTCGCATTCTTCCTTACCGCGTCAGTCCTGCATGTGGCTGCCTACAGGTGCAGGGGAGCGCTGACACTTCATTAGCAAAACACATAATGGATTCAGGAGGATACATACCTGATTGCACTTGCAGATAAGTGGCCATAGGAGCCACTTGCTGAAGAGCTGCTACGGGAATTATTGAGAATTGTGACCAACGAGTTGGGAGATGTCCTTATCATGGTCTGAAGGTCAAAGCTATGATCGGACAGTGGTGATATGGACAGGGTACGCTTCCGGCTTGGCCTGGCTGACAGCCTGGGGCTGGGGAATCTGGCGCCTGTTATATAAACAAAACACAACCTCATTACCTGCCGTTGTATTCACTACCTGTTATTTATTGCTCCTCGCTTGCTCCGAGGGAGTGAAGGATAAGAAGCCAGCAACCAGCAGTGACAAGCGCCTCTCCTCCCACTTGTGATCCACTAGCGACGATTGAGGAAATTAGGGAGAAATATTTATCTTCCAGGGACTTACCTCAGGGGAGCTCTGTTTATTAATGTGCAGGCAAAATGATAAATTGCTAAACAAAAGAGAAAGACTTTTATGTGTTACCCCTCTCATTTCTAGTGATTTATGAATCTGACGGCTGCGTAGATATTCCCATCATTAATTCACCACAAGCGACCAAGGCAGTGATGTTCCCACAGTTACAAAACAACCCCTCCCCCGTCCCATCTCCGACACACACCATTTTAAAGCAATGAGCCAAGGGGAGAAAGTATCCTGAGATAGAAAATTCAGCTTAGTGGTGCCTCCATTCCTCATGATTTGTGGAGTTATCAGGATCCACGGTATACTGAAGCTAAACTAAAACACAAGTAATTAAGTACCCTGAATCAGTGGTTCTCAATCAGGGATGTTCAAACTCCCTGGCCCCCCAAGGGGCATTGATCTGGAGATATTTTGGATTTTTAGCAAAATTCAGGAAAAGCTACTGGCACCTAGAGGGCAAGGCTGGCTATGATGTTCCATATCCAAGACACAGAACATTCCCTTTCCCCCAAGCAACAGATACATATCTGGGCCCAAATAATAGAGATTCAGAAACCCTGCCCTAAATTCCCTACAATCTTAAGAACATGAATCTCAAAAGATCTTCAAAATCTTTGATTTCCTACAATACAGTGGTAGGGAGAGGGTTGGTGAGTAAAGATACACATGAAGCTAAAAAATAAAACAAAATCTTGGATGTTGTTTTTAGATTTTTCAAGCTAGGAGACGAAGATGATATCCAGTGTGCTTCTAAGGCACTTTACTCTCCTCACTGCCATCGTGTCAGTGCCAACTCAAAGCGACCCTAAAGGGCAGGATAGAACTCTCCCTGTGAGTTTCCAAGATTGTCTCTTCGCCGGAGTAGAAAGCCCTTTCTCCTCACGTCTCCTTAGCATCTTGCTTCTCTAGGCAGAAGGTTGCAGCACGGAAGTCTAACCTGGAAGTAGGTACTGTACACACAGATGCGTGATGACTGGCTGCCACCATTTTTACCTGAAGAGTTAGAAAAGAGATGTCCACCTGCATTTGATTTGGTAGATACTAGGGACTTCGAGTTAGGTCTATGGATGAAGGTGGCTCATAGGTCTGATCTCGCCCTCCCCACCCCCACCCCCGAGTCACAGTTATATTGACAGTCATCAAATTAATGCTCAACGAGTGATGAGAACCTAATTCCACTAGGTAAGAAGAAAATGAAGGGATTCTACTTCATAACAGGGGTACACCTGCATATAGTGCCAGGGCTAATTCATGGTACCCAGGAAACTGAAGGAGAAAGTAGGCATTATTGGTATACAAAGAAAACACACCAGGCAATTGGTCTCAGAAATGTCACTGGAGATGTAACTCTTGAGAAGAAATGGGCTTCAACCTACGACTTTAACTCCGTATACCAGAGACCTTCCCCGAGGGCCTGTGGGTCACGACCGCTTTGGGGTTCGAAAGACCTTTTCACCGGGGAGGGGTCGCCCGATTCCTAACAGTAGCAAAATTACAGGGATGAAGTAGCAATGGAAATAATTGCATGGTTGGGGGATCACCACAACACGAGGCACTGTATTAAAGGGTCGCAGCATTAGGAAGGTGGAGAACCACTGCTCTAGGGAAAGACATCGTGACTGATGTAGTAGAGTCAGGGGGCGGGGGGTGAGGAAAATCTTCAATGGGATGAGCTGATATAACGGGCTGCAGTAATGGGTCAAACACAGTCATGACTGAGGATGGCACAGGGACAGGCAGTGTTTTATTCTGTTGTCCACTGGATCCCTATGAGTTAGCATGAACTCAACAACAACACGCTTTGGTCACTTAGGAAAATGTAAGAGAAAAGTGTGAAATGCCTTAGAGTTCATTTAAAAAAACCAAACCAATCCAGAATTTAGTCAGTGAGATTTCACCCAGCGTATAAACCTACCAAGCAATTTCAAAAATTTATTTCAGGCATATTTAAAATGAACTGTTTCATTTAGAGGAGTTTCGAAACCACTTATTTTAGGGCATACTAGTACCAAAACAACCACCACTAATACGGGCCTCTCGTTCACTAGTTAAATCAGTATGTACCTTTATGATGAAACCTGCCTTTAATATATATGTTTCACATTTACTCACTGGGAGAGCTTGATTTCAGTAAAGAGGTTTCTCAGTTGAGAAATACACTCTACTTCCTAACAACCCTGAAACAAGCCATATTTATCGTCAATGCCCAGAGAATCCTGGGCGGTAACCTTTTCCAAGGGGAGTCAGTGACCACTGCGGAGTGCTAAATAACAGCATACTCAAGACAAAGCTGACCCCTGGAGTAGCTATTATTTTAAACCACTAACCAGCAGTGACACAAGAGATAAGGAGGCCATCTGATGCTATAAACCACCAGAGGCTTTATCCCCCCACATGTCATCCAAAGACGGAGCCCAATGGCTTCCAAGACTCTGCTCTGATTTAACTCCACTTCCACCAATATAAATAGTGTGGCTTCTAGGGCCCTAATTCTTTTAAGGATCACTTGCTCTTATGTCCTTTAAGGTCACTGTAGACCCAAACAGTCTAATGAGAGCAATAAATGGCCTTTTTGATTCTAACATTCTCCCCAGTCATCTGGCTGAAACTGGTGTGCCTGATGGTGGTACATTTAAGTCATAGATTCGTCTGAATCTAGTTCATCCAGGTTTCTAACATTACAGAATCCCATCTTGGCATTGCCAGCGCAGGTGTGAATCCACTATGCTGTTTTTAGCTGCCATCAAGGCAGCTCCTAAAAGGTGGTGACCCTGTGCCATTGGGACAAAACGCTGCCGGCTGTGGACTAAATCATTGTGATCCCCGGGGTTTTCTTTGGCTGCTTTTTGGAGGCAGGCCTTCCTTCTCAGTCCAGGTGAGTTGGAAAGCTCGAGTAAAACCTCTGCGGCATCAGAGAAACGTGCAAGCTTCGCTGACAGATGGGCATTGGCAGTGAGAGGCTCAGAATCATCTCCTGTAAGTTCAATCGAGTCATAATTTCCTGTCTTTAAATGCTATTTCAATGGTCGTAGTGCAGTTTTCCAAAGTGGGCGATATCCAGTACCTTGGGGGGCAGTGGAACAATGGCGCGGGATGGGGTGGGGGGGGGTTGCTACAAAGCCAGATGCCTACATTCCATCCTGATCTATGAGAAACAAGTTTTAAGTGCCAGGCAGCTGCTGAGTAATTTTTTTTTCCCCCAGAGAGGAGGCGGTAAGTCAAATAAGTTTGGGAATCTCTGTCATAGAGGGAAGGAATGGAATGCTTTCAGTGCCTTCCAACTGATCAATATTCTCATCTGAAAGCGCCCCGGTAGTGCTGTCAGGTAAGCATTGAACTACAACCCCAGGATGGCAGTTCAAACTCACTAGCTGCTCTAGAGGAGAAGGATGTGCTATCTGCTCCTGTTAAAAGTTACAGTCTCAGAAACCCACAGATTGATGAGAGCCAGACTGGATGCAAGGGCAGCAAGTTATAGGGTAATCCCTAGTAACTGAGCAAGGGCCTTGCATGCTACTTTTCAGGACGGAAACGTGGGGATCCTTGGTAGAAAGCTGTTGTGTGCAAGGGAAGCATTTTCAAATCAGCTGGAAAAAAAGTGTCTTAATTCTCCACTGATGATACTGCCTCGTTCTTAAATACAAGCCAGAGCACTTTTCTTGTTCCCAAACAGATCTGTCTAATCTGGCTTCCTCCGGCTAATTGTTTTGTTTCTCTATGCTAATAAAAAATTCTGACAAAGAAAAAGGAGGTTTCTTTTTATGTGATGAATGATAGGACATCTAAATTCCTACTTAATGACACTCAATTTACCATATATTCAGGCAAATTAAAATTCCTTTAATTAGTTTTTACAAAGTAAAAGGGTAGCTTCATCCTTTATTTAGATAAAAACCGCCACTGCCTGACTACACACATTTTCATCAAATGGGGAAGGTAATGTGGGCTGACCTCCCAAGAATACTCTCTTATTTTAATTCTTTATTTGCAGATTTTTACATAATTCATTTGCATAATAACACTGAACTTCCTCCCCCCCCCCAACAATCCCTAATTGAAAAGTGGTTACCATGGATCTGAAATGTAAACTTTCTAACCTACAAAGGCAAACAACAAACTACTGCAGAAGATATAACACATTTCCTGTGCTTTGTACGTGCTAACGATTTCCCCAGTGGAAACACATAGTATGCTCCCATCTACTAAGAGAGAGGAGTTATTAATCCATGGTAGGAAAGAGGCTATAGAACCAGGGGAGTCTTTTTTGACTCATGGTAATGCCATGTGTGTCAGAGAAGACCTGTGTTCCATAGGGTTTCCGTTGGCTGAGCTTTCAGAAATACATCACTCGGCATTTCTTTGATTTATAGCTGGGTATGTCAGAAGTATACTCAGGGACTCCTAAAAAGGCTAATACAGCCATTATTCTAATCACAAAGTGCTAGAGTGGATGGGTAAGCCATCTATATGCTCAGCTAATAACTCTAACAACCACACGTTGGAGATACAAGTCCGCCCAAAGGCACTTCCGTAAAAAACAAAACAGTGATCTGCTTCTAAACTGCCAATCACTGAAAACCCTACGGGACACAGTTTTACTCCCACACACGTGGATCACCAAGAGTCGGGACCAACTCAATGTCAAGTGACGGTGGTGATAAGAGGGCTAACAACAGCATCCCCTTTGTGACGGAGGGATTCCAGTCAACTGCAGGCAGAAAAGCACATGCTACTGATAAACAAATAGTATTGGTTGCTACTAGTAAACGAACAGTATTCAAACATAAGCCTTTCTCAAGTCAGGTGGTTATCAGTCGAATGACACGGGCCTTCAATGACACATGACTTGAATGATATTGTAGGTTCCCATGCGGGCATGTTGCAAGCAGATGTCTGCTTAAAGGATCTGAATAAATGAGACCTCTTGGATGCTGGAAGGTGATGACTAGAGGCTACGTTTCTGTACGTCTGGATAAATCATAAGCGTTGTTGTGCTCCTCGCGGCTGTGGAGTCAGTCTGTGACTCAGGGCAACCCCATGCACCACAGGAGGAAACGCTGCCTTGTTCTGCACCATCTCCACGACTGGCTACCCAGCAGCCATTGGGATCCACAGACCGGCACTGACGGATTTTCAGAAGCAGATTGCTCGACTAGATTATTTCCAGTTCATCTTAATCTGAAACCAGTCGAGCTTCATAACAACCAACACACGAGCCTCCACTGGTGGAAGCTGTGCATGAGGTGTGCTGATTGAGAAGTGAGCCTGCACCACGGCATGGAAAGCAAGAACTCTAAGTCTTGAAGGATCCAAAACTAATACATTAAATAATTCCACTTTCTTTCACGACCCTGTACTCCAGGAAAGTAGTGACATCAGATTTGGAAATTTTTGCTTTATTTTTCCCACTCCTGGATGTAACCAATCTGTCTTACGTATTCAATAGATACCCCCCCCCACAAAAAAAAAAAAAACAGTGAAAAATTCATTTAGTATAAAGAAAACAGTTGAGACAAAATGTCATCTAATGTAAATAATATCAAACCAAGGATAGGGTTTGTTTTTTTTTAAAGATTAATTTTAAATTAATTCAAAGTTAAAAAAATTAATTAAAAGTCAATCACATAGTAAATCCATTCCCTTTTTTCATTATTAAGACAACAGGCAGAATAGCAGTTTGATCAGGGCGCTTCCAAAAGCCCATAGAAAGATGTTATTATCTTTTAATTCTATTTGTACATAAACTTTTTGACACTCTAGACAGGAAATCCTATGCTGGACCCATCAGTTTAGGGACTTTTACCAGAGTACTAAGTAGTAGGGGTTCCTCCTCTTGCTCGGGTTTAAAAAACCAGATAATCAGCCCAGCTCTGTATGCCCCGCCATTCGGTGAAAGAGCATCGACCATCCCACAGACCGGAGAGCACTGGCCGGCACTTACTGTCCATGGCATGGAGGTACTCCAGGTGGACGGCGCCGGCCCCCGCGGTGGCGGCTGAGGGAAGGATGTCTGCATAGGGGCTGCGCTGACCTGTCAGCAGCGCCATCTGGTGATAGTATTCCGCTGGGCTGACTCCAGCATGGGGGGCTGGAAAAGGAGGTACAGTGAAGAGTCAGAAGAAGGTCAAGAAGATGCTGTTCTTCACATCTCCCCAAACCCACGAGCCACACCGCCGCACGATGCTTCTCCCAGCCTGGCCAAGCTTCCCTCCTGCAGCTTGGGCTTTTCCAGAAGCCTCCTGGGAAAAGAACTTTCATTGGAAAAGAGAACTAGAGGAAAGGACTTTTAGCAACTAGAAAACATAATTGTTCAAGTTTGCTTAGAGAAACCAATGCACACAGGTATGTAACTTAGAGAAACCAATGCACACTGGTACGTAACTTAGAGAAACCAATGCACACAGGTACGTAACTTAGAGAAACCAATGCACACTGGTACGTAACTTAGAGAAACCAATGCACACAGGTACGTAACTTAGAGAAACCAATGCACACAGGTACGTAACTTAGAGAAATCAATGCACACAGGTACGTAACTTAGAGAAACCAATGCACACAGCTACGTAACTTAGAGAAACCAATGCACACTGGTACGTAACTTAGAGAAACCAATGCACACAGGTACGTAACTTAGAGAAACCAATGCACACAGCTACGTAACTTGCGCCCCTGAAACAACGCAATGAAACAGCTTGTTATTTCAAGTCAGTGTACGTTCACGTTTATTTCAAGAGCTGATAACTTGGCTGGCTTTGCGGGCTTACTTATAACATACGCCTATGGCTCTTAAAAAGAGTCCCCTCTTCAGAACACAGGAGGAGCCTGGTTTAGCACCACGGCTTTAATAATACGCGACTGCAATTGTATGCTCCATCATTTAAAAGCTTGTTTATTGCTTTGAAAAATTTCTTTATCCCCATTACAAACTCAAAAAGAACATATCCGTCTGAAGCAATTTACTAGCAAGCCAGCTTGATAAGAGCTGAGACAGTCAATGGTTTCTACCTGCTCATCTGTGAGTACCAGCAGGCAAGCTATTCTAGAAGTTCTGAGGGTGAACTCCAGATTCAGGAAGACCCAGGTTCCAATCCAAGCTCCCCCACTTGGCAGCTGTATGCAGTTGTTGGGAACAAGAAATAAAATAATGCACCTGAACTGATTGCTGTTTTTGGTGTGTGCCATTGAGTCAATTCTGATGCAGAGAAAGAGTAGACAGTTTCTAAGACTGTAAATCTCAATGGGGACAGACACAAGTCTTATCTCCCATGAAGCGGCTGATGGGTTTGAACCACTGACCTTTTAGTTAGTAGCTTAGTGCTAACCAGCAGGCTACGAAGGCTGTATGATAAAAGCTTAGGACACACTAAGAATCATTAAAACAATATAAAACGTATTATACAGAAATATATATATACTTCAGCCATAGGGTTGTGTATGTTTTATTCCCACATACTTTATAGAAAATGAAATAATAGACTCAAAGAGAGAAACAGTAAAGACACTACTTATTCAGTCATCTTCCTAGACTGTTAAAAAGAAATGGCAGGCAGGCTTCTCGGTGTAGATGCACAAAAGGAACCACTTTCCAGTGGGCCAACCAAAGTCCGGTGAGTCGGGCACAATGCCACGCCCACAGCTAGCTGCACTGCCCCAGTTCACGACTGCCTCTCTGTTCATGAGTGGAGACCACGCTCCTTTCTTCCCGGGTAGACTCAAATCCACCTCAGCAGGACTAGCCGAGTTTTCATTTCAAAATGTGAATCTTGCTCAACTGCCAAAACTTCTATTCAAGTCTAGTCACTGCTCTGAACTAGAAAGGAAAAAAAAAGAGTGCGAAGCGTACTTGAGGACAGCTATTCCCAGAAGGACCGTTCAGTCCAGCAGAGTGCTGGATGTGAGTTTGGTGCACAGTGTTCTCCACATAAATCCTTCCCACGACGAGTGAGTCTGGTGGGGCGCTGAGGGAGACCTCGCCGTACACACTAACTGGCTGTAGGAATTGGTCCATATGGCGAACAGGGGCAGTGCACCAAACACATCAATCACGCTGCTTCAGTGAAAGAGCACACGGCGCTTCTCTTTGCCCACAAACAGGCACCGTCCATCATGTGGTACACACAACTCGTAAACCACTGCCTGCCATTAACAAAGCTCAAGTAGTGGGTTATGCACTGAGCAGTTAAGTGCAAGTGTAAGGTCAGCGGTTCAAACACAGCAGCCATAGAAAGATGAGGTTGTCTGCTTCTGTAAAGATTTTGTTGTTGTTGTTAAAGTCAGGAAACTCCCTGAGTAGAAATCGACTGGAAGGCAGTGCGTTTTCCCTTTCTGTTTGGAATGCCGGAACCTCCGTTCCAGTTATGACAAATTGCGGGGAAATGAATTGTGCGGCTGTCATCAGGTGGGAAATGCTTTTCCTGAATCAAAGTGACAGTTTGTAACTTGATAGTCTAGGGATACCCAGCTCCACTTAGAAAGAATCACGTGAAAAGGAATCAATTGGGAGCCCAAAAGAACCAACCAGAATTTGATCTTTGAGATCCTAAAACAAGCAACGTCGTAGTACAGAATGGAAAGTCCTCTTCACTTCCTATTCTCGTCGCATCCCACTCCTGGTTTGCATCTGGCACCAGTCAGCGTCCTCGTGTTTTCTAATGGGGCTCAGCACTGCCGTCACCTGGGTCTTCTCAGAAGTGGGAAATCATGGGTCCCATCCAGATCCAGTCAAGGCAGAAACACATTTTAACAGAACCCAGTTGCCCTCGTGGCAGGGTGGGTTAAGGGTTGGGCAACTAACTGTCAGGTTGTGGGTTCACACCTATCAGCAGCTCTGTGGGCGAAAGACTGCCTACTCCCAGAGAGAGGTACAGTCTCAGACTCCCTGAAAAGGGTCGTCAGTATGAGTCCGAATTGACTTGAGAGCAGAGGGTTTGGTTTCTGGTTTATCAGCAAGCACATGATAGGTTGTGCTATCGCACCTGTATGTAAATGTGCCTCTCGTACAAACAGAAGCTGGACAAAATGCTCAGCCTTCACATGCACATTGGATAAGGGGTGCCTGGGCTGGTCTAAACTCATGTGGAGCAGCTGAACAGAAGGGTGGCTGAGAGCAAGCACTGACGAGTCCATGGAGCCTGGCTCATTCCTTCCTCTGCAGCACTTACTAGCCACTGGACAAACTGTTTGCAAGTTACTTGACTGCTCTGCAGATTACTATCCTCCCCTAAAAACAGAGAAACCAGCATGAATCATGTTCATCCCAGCAAGCAGTCGCTTCTGAGTTAACAATGCCTCATGTGACCTTCGTGTGTCAGCAGACCTGCTGCTCCATACGGGTTCCAGTGGCTGGTTTTTTAGAAATTGGTTGCCAGATCTTCGAACTTCCAACCTTCCGGCTAGAAGTCAAGTGCACTCTATCTGTCCCAACCAAGGGCGGCATCAAGCCCCGACTCATGGAGAACCCATGTGTGATACAGTAGAACTGCTCTGCAGGGTATTCTTGCAAGTAACCTTTATCAAAGCAGGGCACCAGACCCTTCCTTCTTTGAACAGCCAGGCTGCTAGCTACCCATCTGTACCACCCAAGTTCTCCACTAACCTCTGAGAAGTTGCCCCCTCCAGATGAAATCAGGCATCTACGGCCTGCATAACAACATGGCAGCTACTCAGTACACATTAAACAGACTGCCTCGCATGTCTCGGGCGAGGTGGGCAGGTACGCGGCGGTGATACAATTTCTGGAAAGAGAGGTGGCTGGAGACTCACCGTCAGTGGGGCTCAGGCCCCGCGCTGCTGAGATCATTGACAGCGAAGGGCTGCTGTGCAGGGAGCGGATGTAGTCCATGTACGGGTTAATGTAGGGGTGCGGCGGCGTGAACGGGGACTCTGAGGCTGCAGTGGGGTTCCGGTGTGGAGAGATCCTAATGAAGGGGAGGTCTGAGTACGTTGGGCTACTTGATAAAGCAGAAGGCCTGGGTAGAAAGAAAGCCAGACAAAAACAGTTTGCATGAGACAAACACCACCATGAGCCGAGGCTTTCTGAAAGAAAAGCTCTAGGATTTCAAGAGAACATCTTGGGACAGGCATGTCCATTTCCAATATTATTCCACCAAGCACATGGTGACATAATGCAGGTAAAATGTGGCTAGGCAATTATTTGGGCGAAGAGAATTGACACTGGAGAAATGTCATGCAACTGAATACAGGAAACTAAACGTCAGCTTTTGGCTTCCTTCATGAGAGAAATATTTCAAGAAAATAGGCATTCGAGCTTAAGGTAGTTACTGCAACTCTGTTTTCCATTTGGCCCGATATTTAAAAAGTCCTCATTTCTTACTTACCTCTTAGCCATCATGGTGCTGTACTTAAAAAGAAAGAAAAAATACAATCCCCCACGTGTCTGGTCTGCAAGTCTGACCATTCATAACAAAGAAATGAACTGTGTACGTCTGTAAGAAATATGAAGGCAGAAACCACCCATCCCCACACTTTACTGCTAAGAGTCTCAGGCTGAGAGTAAAACCAATGTTACAGATCTGAGCGTCGGTTTTTGGGAGGCAGCTGCTTCTCTTCTCTGTGAAGCAGGACTTGGAATAAGCTTACTGCTCGCTCACTCTAGCTTTTCTATGGCTTCTTGATTAGCCAGCTTCAGAGAACAATCAGTAAGTAACTCAGGGTTGGAAAGTTAGAAAAGACTGGTTTCAATCAAGCCAGTTATAAAGACCTAAGGCTAGCCAGAATGTAGGCTTTGGGCTACTGAGAATAATCCATTGAAATAAAAAGTAATTAATTAATTTTTTAAAAAACCACACACATCACCACTACCACCACCACCACCACTCCCTGTTACGATACCCTGATCTGTTTTGGGGGATTTCTGCCCACCCTGAAGTCCCCGGGGCAGTCATTTCTAGAAAGGCTGAGATGTGTACAGCTACCTCAGGGTCTTGCTCCTACTCTGAAAGCAGGTGTTTTGTGTGGATAATCCAGTGACCTGGCTGGGACAGGCTAACTACACGTGCTCCATTCACAGAGGGAGCCCGGTCATGAAAAGGAGAGGCGGTGAGAGAGACAGATCGACCCGAGAACAGCATATTCCTCTTATGCCCCTGGCTTAGCAGTGAAATGAAAAGGCAGGGGAAGCACATTTCCTCCCCGGCCCCTCCCAGAGCAAAGGCACGCTGACGGCCGGCCTCTGGCCCCCATCACCCTGTCAGAATATAATCTTGGTAGAAGCCAGTTCCACTAAGTGCACAGCTCAGGCCCTGAAATAAATGAAACCAAAGATCAGATAATGAATTTTCTCTCAGTAGAAAATAAAAGAGGTTGAAATATGGGGGCAGAGGATTTTCTCACTTGCTCCTTTTTCGTCTTTCATTTTGAACTTTAAAAACCCAGGGGGAAGGGGAGATGGAGAAAAATGAGTCTTTTATTGTTATTTTTAAATCAGATGCTGCTACTTTGGGTAACGTAAAAAGAAAAATCCAGAGTTTTCTAAAACTACGTGTGGGAAGAATGAGAAGTTGCCCATAAAAAACCACTCTACGTCTCCCAAAGAACTTGGGACGTTCCCAGCCCTCAGAAACCAATACAACGGCTTATGTTTAAATAGATATCAGCCTAAGCCTATGAATCTATCCTCTATTTCAGCTCTTTGCTACAACACAAGTGCCCCGTAATGATGGGGACCATCCCCTAAGATTCACTGTACCATCTTGGTTGCTCTGGAGCAGGGGCCTCACACGTTTTAAACCAGGGCCAGTTCACTGTCCCTCAGACCCGTTGGAGGGCCGGACTCTAGTTAAAAAAAAAAACAAACTCTGAACAAATTCCTATGCACACTGCACATATCTTATTTTGAAGTAAAAAAACAAATGGGCAAAAACACCAAGCGGGCCAGAAAAATGTCCTCGGCAGGCCCATGTGGCGGGCAGGCCGTAGTTTGAGGATGCTTGCTTTAGAGGGTACAGAGGCTACGCAAATTCATTAACCAAGAAGAAAATCAACCCTCCTAATAGGATTCAAAGGTAGTCAGCACCCACTTATCTGTGCAGATATGCTGAGAGCCCAGCACAGCAGAAACACAGAGGACAAATTTCAGCCAGCCTCAGAGATGACCCCCCAACCAGAGCAGTAGTGGTTCAGAGGTAGCACTTGCTTCCTCCGAACCGGAACCCCGAGTTCCATTCCTGATCAATGTATCTCATGTGCAGCCCCCTTGTCTGTCAGTAGAGGCTGTGGGCTGTGAGGTCGCTGAACGGGTTTCAGCAGATAGTGAAGTCCGGAAGAAAGTCCAGAGATCTGCCTTCTGACAGCTACCCAAACCAAAGCCCTCCACATCACAGCGGTTTGATTGGTTTGTGCATGAGCTGGGGGTCGGCTGACTCCAAAGCAGTTAGCAGCAGCAAGATAAGCTTTTGAGGAATCCTAGAAAAACGAAGAATGAACAATATGAAGGAGAAGGCAATGCCATTTCTAATTTGTTTTGTCAATTTAATGGGGAAAAAAATCCCGAACCCATTTTTTTTTAAGTTCAGCTTGGAGAAAAAGTAGTAAGAAATGTTCCTAGAAAGCTAGATTCTATTTCAAAGCGCCGTGCATGTAAAAACTAATCCGCATCTAGGAAAACATAAAAATTAGAGGGCTCAGGTTTGGACAGCCATGAATTCCAAAAACAGCCAAGGAACCTAGAAGATCAGGCCGGCCGTTTGCAAAAATACGTGTACATCTGATGTCAACATTGGTGCTTTCACTCTACTTTGCCTACTTTTCCTAAAGGAGTCCGCTGTTAGGTGGTGCACTGGTAAGGGCAATGACAGAGTGATGAACAATGTCTACCCCAGGGTGCTGTAGAAGAAAGGTGGGGTGATCTGCCGTTGCAAAAAGCAACCATTGAAAACCCCGTTGAGCACAGTTCAACTCTGAGGCATTGGGTTCATTATGAGTCAGAGGGTTCTCGGTTTTCATCGCCTCAAAGGGACATAAGCTACCTATTAATGCTTCTGATGAGTAAGTACATAACCGAGACCTGTTCATGCACATCCTTGCTGGCAGGGGCACGAAGGGTCTCTCTCTCTCTCATTTATACACCAGTAAGAAACACATCTGGAAAGATTTCCCCAGGATTTGGGGGGAAAAGGTCTAGAAAATGTATCCCCACTATCATTAAGGTGACTCATAGTGACCCTGTAGGACCTGACCCTATAGGACCTATAGGGTTCTCCTGCGGAGCAGCAAGTGATTTCGAACGTCTGACCTTGTGGTTAGCAACCCAAATCGGAATAAACTCAATGGCATGGGGTATCATTAACGTGGGGAGCCCTGGTGATGCAGCTGGTTAAATGCTGGACAATCAGTAGTTTAAACCATGCTACTTCTCTGCACGAGAGAGATAAGGCAGTTGGTCAACTTCTGTGAAGAATTCAGCCTTGTAAACCCTATGGGGAAGCTGTACTCTGTTCTATTCTCGAAGGCAATGGGAATTATAAATGTAATGAGTCATATTCATGTGTGTCCTTTACAGAGAGATGATGGCAACTCCTTGCCATGGGAACAAGTATTTCCAGACAGAGTGATTGAGACAGTTTAAAAACATGAATACAAATAAGAAAATCTGTGAGCTGATATTCACTGTCTGAAAGATACACGCCACTAGTAATCACAGGCCATCCAGACCCAGCACACGGATAGCACACGGTTTCCTAAGCAGTGCGTTCCAGCATCAAAGCAGAGATATAGGAAAGAATGTGGATTCTGTACTCTCTCTCCATTGCCTGACAAGTCCAGTGGGGAAACTCTCTCACTGAGTGTCTTGAGGAGTTATCGTATGTAAATCCACATGTGCTCAGTTTTTGTCAGGTCAGGGCTGATGGAAACCCTGTGTACATCAGAATGAAATGCTGCCAGGGCCCGCGCTATCCCCAGGAGAAGGAGGAATTGGCGCACGGTGAGAGATAGGATCTTCACTTCAGAAGCAGATCAGAAGGTCTTTCTAGTCCAGCCTAGTTGGGAAGCTCTGTGAAAACCTGTTCCGTATCAGAGAGACACGTAAACCACCACTGATGTATGGGTAGTGTCTGTGCATAAGGTGCAAATCCAGGTCTTCTGGTGAAATTTTATATAAATGCACACACATGATTACATTTATGTACAGAAAACCGCATTGCTACAAAGTCATATAAACTTTCACTAAGCAAAAATAGACAAATAGGAAGCTACCATTTCTCGAAATATCCTGTAAGTCTATACACCTCTAAAGGCACGGATTCCATCGCTTGAGCCCTTCCTTAAAGAATTCCCCACTCTTCACACCACATCAAAACATCATTTTGGTAGCCCAAAGGGGCGTAAATCACCTTCTTTTAATTTTTTTTTTCTTTTAAGTTTGGAGAGCAAAAGGAAGCCTCAGGGGGCAAGATCAGGCTCTTAGTGGGGAGGGAGTAGTTTCCCGGGAAAACCTCTGTAGGACAGCCCTTGCCACGCTTGAAGAAAGAGCTAGTCATTGTCAGGATGGACCACAGTTTCAGGCACAACTTGGCTCGTCGTTTCCCCACCACAGCAGTTTTCAATCATCGTAAAACTCTCTTAGGAAGCCCGGTGAGTGCCCTGTTTCCTCTGAGACAACCGGTCCACAGTATGACTTTTGAATACCCAAAACTAGTTGTCATCATTTTCTGCGTTGACCATTCTGCCTTGGATTTAACTGCCCCAGCCGATCCCTGCAGACGCCGCTGTTTTGATTGCATTGTTTTGGGAGCCACCTTGATGAGACAAGTGCCTTACTGAGTAAACTTGAGCAGAGATAAGCATACAAATGCTTTTTTTGGAATAAATCTACACGTGTATATATAAACTAGAGCCCTAAAAGTAAGACTTTTTGACTGCACCTTGATGATCTGCATATTGTATTCATATACTCTACCTTTAATACATACTTATACAAAGATGGACACATATTAACCAACAACAAGCG